AAACTTTTGAAGGTAAGACATGAAATGATTCCTTATCCTAAACACCTCTGCATCATGCATATTTATGATGTGCCTAATCTGTGAAATAAAGATTCTGGCAAATTTCTGAAATAGTAGACTCCAAGGGCCAAACAAGCCACCATGCAAAGTAAGGCCACCTGTATTGGTTCTGTTGGGATTTAAACCAAGTAAACCAGTGCCTAGGTTTCTTCTTTTTTTTTTTTGAAAAAGAAAAGTTTACTCTTGGTTTTGAAGTTTGGTATTTTCACATGTTTGTGATGAGAGATTATTTCACTGATAAACAGTCAGCAAGAATACTCATTTGATTTACATGATTAACTAAAATGGAAAAAGAGAATCTTCTAATTCAAGGCTCTAGCATTAGTTCAGTGCCAAACAATATATCAGTACAACACTTACTAAGGATGGAATTCATATGTGGAAAATCTAGTGATATCCCAGCAAATAATGAGTTGAGCAGGGTCATAGATACACTAGTCAGGGGACAATTGGTATTTTATTGAATCCCTCTATTGAGTATGAGGATAAAATCTGCTTCACAGGAGAAACTTAGGTATGTTTTGGGGGATGTTTTGGAATTTTGTGAAATTTGAGCTTTTTGAGATGTTTTTGATTTTCTTTATCAAAGACATGTGTTTGTTTTGTCCAATCCCAGGACTCAGGCTCTGGGAGAGGTTTTTGGCAACCCTGATCTGTTGGGTACAAGAAACTGGAGCTAGAGCATCCATGCTTGATTTTGAGTATCCCGTCCTTAATCCTGAATGCTCCCTGAGTACTTGAAAGTTGTAATTGCGACCCGTCAAATCCACTTGGGATTCCGAGACCTTTTTGCCCATCTCCTCTGGGTCTGGGCCATCATCCAAGTCTTTCTTACGTGTCCCGTTCTCTTTTTTTAGATCAAGACGAAAAATTCTTTAAGAAGATTTTTTTATTTAAGATGCAGGATGTCTCCGGTTGGTTCGATTATAGATTGATCAGTTGTGCTTATAATGATACAAATTTTATGCTTTGAGCAACGAGAAAAAACAAGGGCTCAAGCTCTATGAGAAAGAATATACATGAGAATTAATGGTTGAACAACAAGGATAAAGCAGAAGGATTGTGTAGGGTAAGATAAGTCATGTTGTGATGATTCGAGTAGATCGTGCTATGTGATTGAGTTGATTGATTCCGAGCGCTACCTGTTCCAGCTTGGAAAGAACTGAGTCACTGAGCCGTTCGAATACACGCCTCGGAGTCGAACGAGAAAGCCTTCGGGAGGATTAAGGCCAGTGTGGCGATAGCCGGGTGACCTCGACAAGCTCCAGCAGAAATTTCGACCGCCACCCTCCACAACTTGATCAATCTGATTCTGGTGAATTCGAGTGAAGCACGTTAAAGGCATCAGCGACAGCAGCTCAAGATGAAAATTCGATGTGAATAAGACTGACGTCATCAATATGGGGAGTCAGGAAGAGCCCTCGTTCGCTCGACCTCTTCCGGGGGACTCGATCTCCGCAGCACCCCCAAGCCGAAAGCCCCTTGGAATGGGGCATCCATCAAAACGCTATTCCGAACTATCAAACAATCGAATCCATCAAAAAAAATAAAACGTATAATGTGTTTTCATAGAAGGAAATATCTTCGTTCTTCAACCACTCACGATGATCGTCATTCTCGAGAGATTGTTGGAAACAAGTCACATTCCCAATCAACAGTGCGATCCCCCGACAGGATGATACCAGTGCCCGAGAGTCAAGACCGGAGAGCCAGATACTCACCTTCAGGCCTCGGAAGTGATGTAGCACTACACTATTGTCTTTATTTATAATACAAGGCGTATTCGCTATAAAATTGTTCGGGGTTTTAAAGCACAGTCAGCCGTTCTAAACTGAATTTGAACTTCATAGGACTTGTCCTACGATACGTCGGGATATATACTTCCCAGTGTCACTGTCGACCACTAGTCACAGAGGCCGAAGGATGATAAAGAACCCAATTCCGATAGGAAAGAAAACTGAAGGACCAGCTTGGAAATGGGATGTGGTACCCGAGATGGATACAGAAAATTTGTTGGTCATGAAGTATAACTCTACTTCTCGGGGTGGCTCGGCGAGATACTTTCGCACCCGTCCTAGGAGGAGAGCTCGAAGAACCAAACGTTCCATGCTAAGGAAGTTGATATATCAATACTGAGTGCAAGTGGCGAGAGAGAAAAAAACGCTTGACGTCTTGTTATAATGGAGACGGTGCCTGCGTTGCGCGCTTGCAGTTCTCGCTGTACGTGATAGAAAGAAGCTCGAAATTCAATGAGGTGCGAATAAGAACACTGAAATCTGCTCTGGTACTTTGATCGAGCAATCACGAACAGATTGATCTGTCCAAAAAGCAGAAGAAACAGTCTGGGATCCAACATTTGCTGGACAGGCCCAACTGAACGCTTTACAGCTCCAGTGGTATATGGCACGAACGAGTCATGCCTGAATACTAATTGACCACATCTTTTACGCGCTCATCATTCATATATGTCAGAAACGCTTCCAGGCATCAATATGACTGCAAATGGAGATATGCAAGAAGTGTAATTAAGCAACCTGTTTGCGCCGAATGAGATGGTGAACTTTGAAACGGATGAAGGAGGAAAAACGATTGAGCTCTACCGAGAGATCGAAAAAGCGAAAGGATGAAAAAGAAGAAAAGTGGAATGGAAAAGGAAAAGTAACGAAAATCAGGTAGAGTCAAAGAAATGAACGGGAGATGATTAGAGAGGTTGTGATGTTCCAAGAGCGAGATATATAAACTCGCTACGAGGAACAGAGCCGGCGGTCCATTACCTGATACTGAAGCGTTACTTCATCAGGCTTTGGATGGCTGACTTCGAAGATGGGATGGAGGGAAATGAAATTAATCCGAGGGGATGCAGAAAGACAAGAGATTGAAAAAGGGAAAAGACGAACAAGATGAAAAGTAGAATGGGAAAAGAAAAGTAACGAACATCAACCAGAATCGAATGAATGAACAGGAGATGATTGAAGGCGTGGGGATGTTCCAAGAGCCAGATATATAAACTAGCTACAAGGAACAGAGCCGGCAGTCCATTGCGTGATACTGAAGCGTTACTTCATCAAGGCGTAGGACAGCTGACTACGGAGAAACGATGGATGGAAATGAAATCAATCCAAGGGGATGTAGAAAGGTAAGAGATCAAAGAAGGAAAAGGTCGGACATGAAGGGAAATGGGATGGAATTTGAAAAGTAACAAACATCAGGAAGGATCAAAAGATTGAACGGAAGATGATTAAAGAGGTGGGAATGTTCCAAGAGCCAGATATATAAACTAGCTACAAGGAACAGAGCCGGCGGTCCATTGCCTGATACAGAAGCGTTACTTCATCAAGGCCTAGGACAGCTGACTTCGAAGATGGGATGGAGGGAAATGAAATCAATCGGAGGGGATGCAGAAAGGTAAGAGATCAAAAAAGGAAAAGAACGAAGAAGAAGGAAAATGGGATGGAAGATGAAAAGGAACGAACATCAGGAAGGATAAAAAGACTGAACAGGCGATGTTTAAAGAGGTGGGAATGTTCCAAGAGCCAGATATATAAACTAGCTACAAGGATCAGAGCCGGCGGTCCATTTCCTGATACTGAAGCGTTACTTCATCAAGGACTAGGACAGCTGACTTTAAAGATGGGATGGAGGGAAATGAAACGGGTCCAAGGGGATAAAGATGGTAAGAGAGTGATCTGTCGAGAATTCAAAAGAAAAAATTGGGAGTATTCAGATATAACTGATGGGGGGGAAACACTGAAGGAAAGCAACTTTCAGGTAAGTGTTGGCGGCGATAGAATTGGTTGGAGATGAGGCTGATGGGGGAAAAAGTTCAGAATGGAGGGTCCTTATAAGCCAAACCGAGTGCAGCAAAAATCGCTCTCAAGGCGCCGAGGGTTTCGCTGACACGACTGAGCATGGCGTGCTACGAAAATCCAACCAAGCAAGAAAGGAGATTTGTTGTATGTTGCCTTCTACCTGGGCCTATTTGGTGTACATGAAGTGTCCGCTGACCCAAAGGATCTATCTATATATACATGTTTTGCTTGGAGAATTAGCCGCTAAAGAAGAACGCGCTTCTGATATTCACGAAAGATGATTCCAGCTATTTTGCCCTAGGGCCCACCACTATTTATATTTCTACATAATCATTATATTTATCGCTCGACTCTCGACACACAGCTCACTAGACATCATCAATATTTTCGGATACGAGGAAGCAATCTCCTTTTGCCAATCGAGAATTGCGGCGACAGTCTGGTCATCATGAAATCGGCGGTCTCAAGGCGAGACAGGATCATTTGGCAGCAATCAGCTGGTCTGTCGATGCCCTGCTCCAAGCGAGCCCGTGATTAATGCTGGAAGGATGTATCCTGTTATAGCCCAGACGCCTCAGTCCAAAATAATCACCTGCTCGACACATTTGTTTATTTCGAACCACTTTTCAACATTCTAAAAGGAGGGGGCATGCCTGTAGTTACCTTTATAACAATACCCTGATACTGACCACACCTAAGTGAGTTTGGTATCAAGTTGATGATCGAAAATTGTATTTTGAAGCCCCCATCCGACCAGGACTACATAAAACACACTGAATCTTGGAAAATCAGGGGGCGCAAGTTGGTGTATGTAGAGCCAAGCGGAACATAATGAGCCCCAACCATTGCTCGCTGTTCTATTTGCTTATATGGATAGGATGACCAAGACCCATATGTCAGCTTGCCAGTCACCGCCTAACGCCATCCAACGGAAAATAATCGATCATTAACTCTCAGGGAAATCTACGAAAAAAAGGGAAAGAAAGAGGAAGGTTTTTTGTGCGTCTTTTTTCAGCCGACTCTCAGCCTCGCAAGTGACCGATCATAATGTAATCTTACAACCCAAGAAAATCCGCTTTTGTAAGATGTATCTAAATCTACTCTTAGGATGTAAAGTTTAGTTGTTGTTACTAGAGCTCAGGGATGGGATCTTGTAAGATTTGTGAAGTTCAACTTCTGATCACGAATTGGCATTTGAATGATGAAATCAAAGGTTCCCGAAGGTACACATACAAAGATACACTCAAATCAAGCTAGGGGACAGGAAGCTGAATGAACCACTTTTGAGGAAGTCGGAACAACGTCTTATTCTCTTCGAGACGAATGTACATAAGAGTTGATTGGCAGGATCAAATGCGGTCCCATCTGGTAGTTCATGCCCTGCAAAATGCGCTCCTGCAATTCTGTTTTGTTCTGTTCTCAAAATGATGTGAACTGTCTCGAGATGAATTAAATATTTATTTGACAATTTGTTTAAAAATAGAGCTCAAGTTGCAAATGTATTGATGAAATGATAGACCCTTGGCATTGAATACTAACCGACATCAATCAACCAATAATCTTTTATGATGGATGAACAATTCAAGTCAACTTTGAGTCACAGTTTTTTGTATCTAGCAGGACGATGAAGGCCTTGTCATTTGCTTCTTCGTGGATTGAGAAAGGGTTTCTCTCAATTCCTGGATTATGATGAGGGAGGGCGCGTTTTCCGCGCAGAAAAACCGAACACAGGCGACGGGACTTGTCACCAGGTAAGGTTTTTGATCCTCATCACAAATTTTCTTAGGGGAAATTGCACCATATTTGTTTGAGGTATGGAAGGGCCTGATTTCATGGCCGTTGGTGTTATGCTTCCAACAATTAAGATGAAGCAATGCAGTTGACATGGGTGAGGACAAGCCCCCTCAGGTGAACGATCCTTTGCTACCTCACTTTTTGAAAGCTATTCCCTCGGTAGGGTTTGGCGATGGCGGCGTGACACGTAACGGAAAATTTGAAGTGTCTCGCTCCGAGTCGCCGAATTGACTTGCACAGTTCCGTGCTCAATGGCGACAAAAAAGGGATGGATAAACGCTAGATATACATACGCTACCTTCACCTCACATGGGAGGAGACGGGCTACAAGTCGATGATAAACAAGATTCTAGAGAGGAAGCTTCCTATCCTCAAGACACCACGCTGCAGCTCTGTCGGCGCGTATCTATCTTTCGTGTCAGGTTAGTTTTTCGGTTGAAGTAGACGCGTTCTAACCTTGACGAGCCTGCATAGGCAAATCCTAGAATCGAGTCAGTCTCAGAGTGGAACCTTGTCCGTAGACATTCTTGTGTGCATTTTTCGTTTTCCAACTCCATTTAAACATCCTCAAAACGGTATCGCCAGTTTGCATCCTAAGCGCTGGCATTTGGTTCCCGGCTTCCGAAAAATCAAAGGTTTACCGCTGAACCCACCGACTATTCCCTCGATCTAGCATTTACTTCAAGGTGAACAAAATAAAACGTTCATTATTCTTGACACACACCCAAAGACCGGACCGGCTCAACGGACTTCAATCATGTGGGAACAAGACGATTGCAACTCTTGCGAAGATCTCACCCTCTGCCAGTAAGTATTTCAGTCACCTCTGTAGTTAACAGTAGCGGTATCAACGCTTGCGGATGGCAGCGCTATAGTCAAACACTTATGAATTCTGCTTGTTGTCTTCTATGAAAGCACGATTTTATCAGCCTGTGACCACAACCTTGATGGCCAGACCGAGACGGGTAAAAAGAAGCCCTGCAGAGATTCGTCATATCCTGGTCAGTGAACGAAGGCTTGATGACAGATATGAAAGCTTTTCAATCGTGAATGTTAACTGATACCAAATCATAATGGGAAAAAAATCTGCAAAGTTGGTTGCACGCCAGACAAGATTCTGAAAGAGGACGAAACGTCAGATCAGATGAAGTCTGGGATCAAAGACCATTCTAGACGCCCTTTATTCGACTGTATCAAGCACACAAAGCGTATCTGGATAAAAGCCATCACCCGATTCCTCGGGACTGGGAACCAAACCCGCCCACGAGAAGCAGCATCAAAGAGGAACTCCCTCAAAAAATTGAGGCGACCTGGAGATCACCGTACCAGTAAATCGACCTTTCCGAACCAACACCCTTGCCCAGGGTTTAAGGTTCCGCGGGGAGGAAGAGCGTCGCAGGCCTCGCAGTCGGCTAAACCGGTCCAACTCTGGTCACTCACTCAGTCTATCCGAAAGAGATTCTCACGTTCCGTATCCTCCTCGTATCTCAAGCGCCCCAGGCACAAACCCGAAGAGCAAAGTAGAAAGACAAGCTCTTTGGAAGCTCTCTCAATGTCGACCAGATGTAAGCCCCAGCCAAAATAACTTATCCCATCATACTTTTCATTTTATTACAAACCGAGAAGAAACCCGTTAAATCTATTCCCTGAATTGGTTTGGCATTTGGCTGAATCTCTATAGCATCCGTCAGCTTACCATTGAATCGGCCCGAAGATTCCGGCGATGAAACCTTAAAAGGGACCCAGGATTTAACATCACCCTATTCGTTACCCAGACTTGATGCGTTTGAACCATTCTCATTCGAACCTACTAACCTCATTGAGGAATTGAGCTAGGTCAATGAATGATGGGGTTTTTCTCTGCGTTATCTCGGTCGCATGAATATAAATTTTTCAATTTTTAACGCTCATTTGATATCTTGATCTTATTCTTAAGAATAATGACCTGACGCTTTAATTTTTTATTTTTGAAAGCGATCTTAGTCTTCCCTAGTTTTTAATAATAATATTCAGTTTAAACCAAAGTATGAAATAATATAATATGCCTGAACTCATCCAAAACACCAGGTATTCATTTGCAACTGTTGAGAAATACGATCGACCAGGTCATATTTGAACCAGACACAAGTTTTGTAAAGGTGGATCAAACTGGCCTCCGATTTTTTCCTTCCTCTGAAAATTAAAATCATTCACCACTGGATATAGGATTTCAATTCACACTTTCCAAACCCAGTTCATGAATGTGCCCATCTCAGTCATGTCTTATTTTAGACTTATCTGTTGAATTATAGGGAGGAAAGAATGGCTTTTTATAGCAATAAAACTGGGGTGGAAATTCCCTAGATATTGCTTTAGCCACCAAAATATGCTACAGAAATTAAATTTTCCCAAATCAGTGCTTTCAGTTTCACCAATGTTTAAGAACTGCAGCATCTTGCACAGTCACATTCTCTATGTGGCTGCTAATTGAAGAAGGATCTAGGATGCTGCTGCAATATAATGTCTTCTAAAGAAATTTAAGCACCTCATGCAGAAAATCCCTGGGGTATGGGGGTGGAGAAGATTACCAATTTCAGAAAAATTCACGCTCCCTGAGGGGAATGGTAATTTTTGGCCAATCAATACACTTTTCATGAGTGGCTCAGGATGAAATCCCTTGAAAGCAGGGGGGAAGTGAAACTTTATGGGCCTAAATCATTTCTTCATATTTAGCCAGCTTTTTATATCTCATTGACTGGTCTCTTTCATAAATACTCTTTGGGGAAACAAAAAAAAATATGGTCTTGGTCAACCGACTCCCAAAAATTGGAGAGTCGACTCCCAAACCCGGGTTTCCCCAAAATTTGGGAGTCGATTCCCCAAATCCATCCATGGGTTTGGGAGTCAGCCCCCAAAACAAATTAAATAAAAAAAAAAGAAAAACCCCGGAGGGGTTGGGTGTCGATGCCTCGGTTTTGGGGGTCAGTGATCAAAAGAAAAAAAAAACAGCGGCCGCCGGGAGGATCCCTCCCGGCCGCGGAGAGTGCTCTCTTGACGGCCGAGAGAGTTTCTCTCAGCCGTCAAGGGTCTACAACCTCAACGGCCGAGAGAAATTGCCTATTTTCAATTTAAATTATCTAAAGCACATGAACAGATTTTTTCACTATCCTTTCCAAGGTTCAAGTTTGACTCTAGCTAGGACTCCACCTTTACATTTTCCAATAATGGCAGGGAATTTATTTTCTATGTACCTTATTCAAAAACTCTATATTATTGGGTTTTCCAGGGCCCTCTTTGTTGAAATATGGTTACAACGGTGCACATACATCTTATTATGTCATAATAGTGTGATCTTACACAGCTTGTTGTTTCTGTTCTGGTTTTCTTTTCCTTGTTGACCGTTTTTTTCAATTTTTATTTTACTATCTGTTGACCATTCTGTTGACCATTCGGTTGACCATACTCTGATCGAAGAACATCTTTTCATTAACTTCTTCAACTTTGAGTTCAACATCACATTGTCTTATTAACTGTACCATTTATCTATTCTTTACCCTTTTCTATTACTCAAACAACCATCAACTATTTCATTCTTGTGATTTCCGTCCTTGCTGAGGACCTTTACATCTAGGGCCCTAGGCTGACTTTCAGAGATTCTTATTTTCTTCTCTCCTTTATTCTTATGACTGTGTACATGTTTCTAGCTGTCTTTCATCTTTTCAAGTCTTTAACATAGTTGTCGAGAGTTTCATTTCTCATCTTCATATCTTATCATCCATAATGGGTTTCCTGTTTTATCTAGGTAAAACTTTATTTTACTATTTCTTCATATTTTTTTATTTCTTTATCATCTCATTATTTCAACTGATATTTATTTTTATTTAGCCAAAACTTTTCACGCTTCATGCTCTGAGAAATCATGTGTTAAATCAAAGACAGAATTTCACAGTAACAGAATCATATGATCCGCACCTTATATGAATACATGCCTCACTTGATCAATTACCTTCTGTTGTGAGGGGGGGATCTGTCAGCTGTTGATCTCGTGTAGAGGTCTGGCTGGACAAGACTGGGGGTAGTAATAAATGTATTATTATGGTATAGATAAAAAAACTAAATACAAGAGGAAGGGAAAGATGAAAAGAAGGATAAAAAGTTGTTTTCTGTTATTTAACTTGTTTGAATTCTATTGTCAAGAATATGGGTAAGCCGGCACACAAACACCTAGGCCTCTATTCCTAAAGGTAGGAATAGGATGCAATCAGATGGATGTGATTGTGATGATTTTTCATTGGTCAAGAGACTCGATTGGGTTATTAACACCAAACCCAGTTATACTAATTCATTTTATTCTTGATTCATTTTATTATCATTTGTTATAGATTCTATTTCAGTTTAATACTACTGATTCTTTATGAGTCTGATGACAATGTAGAGACATTAACTTGATCAATTAGGAGCTTTCAGTATTTTAGCAAGAAAGTAAGGTTATCAGATTCAATCTCAACCATATCTAATTTAGGAATACTAGTCCCAATGTGATAAAAATCTTAGATAAATAAAGACCTCAAGGGTATATAAATACCATTGCTGAGTTTATCTAAGTAAGTAAAGTCTTACGACTTTTTTGAATGAGTATTTCAAAAATAAGATATAATATTTTGACTTGTTCTTTTTCCAAAGGAGAAAAATTCAATCCAACATGAAGTAGTTTTTATATCCAAGCTGGACATCCATTTTCATGTGAACTCTATAATCAAGCATTGTAATCATACATGAACATAGTTTCTATTTGTATTGATTCTGGGTTACATGTTGCTTACTTCACTTAGTTAGTATTTCAAACAATCCTGTCAAAGTATGTTTCTCATTTATCATCTAACTAAAACTGTGTCATTTCAAATAATTCATCATGCACCTTTCCTTCTAACTAACAATCCCAATATTACAATGCATTTTGTACACTGGTTTTGAGACCTTTTGGACACACCAGAGTGTCTCTAAGGTTGACAGGATCTCCCTACAGGGACCCTCAAAATAATAGAAGACCCCTTGACCAGAACCTATCCCCCCTTCCTCCAAAAACCAAGGAAATTCTTGGGCTAAAATGTGCAAGTTACAGTATAAAGCTAACAATTCAACAATGAATGAATCTGTCAAAATACACACATTTGTTCAACTAATTTCTGGAAGTATTAAGAGAAAGATTCCACCACCATTGAATTTTTTTAATGAATTGAAATCAATAATGACCAGGAATTTTTAGTGAAAGGAAAGACAATTGGATATAATTTTTATGAAGATAGCACTCCTCTCAGTGTTTTTTTTCAGCTGCTTTTTATGGTTGAGGGAGTCATTGTTTTTTTGTATCAAAGCAATAAAAAATTGATGAGAAAAGAAAAAGTTATATCTTCCTTGATGTTCTTTTCTTTTTCTGGTAGTGAGGGTATCTGGGAATTCCCCACTATTCAAAAGATCAATTTCTCCTAGGTTTTTGAGGTTCTTCAGAAGTCTTAATTCTAAGCCGCATATAATCCCAAAAGAACTGATCGTGATTTCCGATAGCAATCCATATTTGAGGATGAAAGTTTTTGTACCACAAGCCAACCAAATAGATAGGTTCTTTCCATTTCTTTTGGTCAGCATCCGGAAGATAGATGTAATATTTAAGCCATCTTTTGATGATTGATAACTTTTTGTCTTTTGGAGAAGGTTGAGTTAAGATTGTTTGGCCATCTAATGTCCTATCAAATACTTCTGCTTCAAGCCACTCAAAAAAGCTCGCTTTGCTGGGGATTTTGATTCCGCAAGTTTCAAGTTCTTTCAAACTGAGCTTCAATAGATAATCACACCTTCTTATTAAATTTTCAAATGATCTGATTAAGTACTTATAGATATCTTCTTTCTCATGATTATTGGTCATTAAGGTGGAAGGATAATGCAAAGAGTATTTCATCTGATCTCCATCAAGGTTTGGATTGGACAAAAGGTTAATTTTTGAATCCATATCAAATTGAAGTAATTGCTCAAATTTTTGTGAAAATGAGATTATATATTGCTTGGCATCCATCTCTTTGTAGCGAGTAAAACCGAGTTTTAACAAGAGTTCTTTGATGTTCATGAGTGGCTGCTTTAAATCCTTGAGCTCTTTCTTCTTCTTTGCTTCTTCTTGGCTATCTGTGATTGTTGCAGGTGTCAAATCTATTTTCTGGCTAGTAGCTGGCCATTCCACAATTGACTGAAATTTGGAGGAATCAGATGTTTTAGTTTTGTTTTGTTGGAAAACATAATGGGGTGTAGCTGTAAGCATGTTATTATTCCCATCACTTGAGGGTTTCAATTTGGATGGTTTTTGATCACCATTCCACTGTTGGTTAGAAGGACTTGGACTCTCATCTGTTTGCAAAGGTTGGATGTTTTGGTAAGGCATATATGTATCACCTGTCTGTGAATGCTGAATGTGACTTGTTTTTTGTCTTTTTGTCTGATGTTGAGGTTCAGATTGCTCAGATCCTCTTGATTGAAGGGAATGATCCGAAGTACTTGGTGTAAATGACTCCCTTGTAAATGAGCCTATCTTAAGAGGTGGTTCAATCTCTGTCATACTCCACAACAGAGGCTGGCCAGTGTGCATCATATCATAAGGGTGCACTTGACCCATGTCACCCTTTGTTTGAATATCTGCAGTTGGCCAGGTATAGGTCTCTTTCAGCTGAACAGCACCTGGGATGTTGTTATATAGATTTCCCGGGTATAGAGGTTGATGATCTATTGTATCAATCCATCCAGGTCAGAACTCAACCTTCTTTTTTCAAATTCATAGAATCCACAAACCTATCAAACCGGTTCCTCTCACCCCTGGAGTTTCCAAGCCATCTTGGATTGGCTGATTCAGGTAGGATTCTAGGTGTGGAGGATGGTGCCATCGCTGATCCATGGATGTGGTTAACGGGAAGACATGTTCGTCGTCATAGTAGTGACCTTGGCAGACAAATGAAATTTGGAAGTGTGGTCAATCGACTTATTTAGATAAGGGTATGATGGTTTTGTGGCTCTCAGTTTGACTTACCGGAATTCCATCCCATAGCCGTTTCAGCCTGCCAATCCTGTAGGCCGTGATTGTTGTTGAGGAAGTGATAAGTGGATGGATCCATAAAGTCATTTGCGCCTATAGTATCTAAAGCAAAACATGCGGCCAATCAAGAGGAATGGCAAGATTGGAATCAGTGTATGCTGTAGCGAATCCTGACAGGATGACAAGCTGGATAACCTGAATGTGATGCCAACTCACCGGGATAATGCTCGCTCATGAATGGGTCCCCTAACTCTACATGACCGTATACTAAGTTTGACGAGTCTTGAAGGGCATTTGAAGAATGCAAGTTTGCTGAGTCTTGAAGGAGATTTGAAGGATGCCAAAAGGATGGAGCCGAAGTGACGGTAAGCATAAGAGAAGAAGTCCCAACTACTCCCAGGAATAAGAAACCTCGATGAGACATTCCCAACTATTAAGTTTGGCAATCCAGTTCAGCTCTTAAAAATGTGTTTGGTGGCGGGGAGTTATCGGTCCAGGTCAACCGATGTACAACTCGGGTGCGATCCAGGCAGCGGCTTTTTATTCTGAGTGACCCTGCTTGATACCCTGGCCTACCCCATCGTGAACTCCGCCCGACCTCACCCACCCCCTCGTCTCAAGGTCCATATTTACGCAGCACAGTATTGATCTCCTTGACCTCTTTGGCCCGGGCACTTCAATCACACCGCTTGATTTTACAACCGGGAGCTAGTAAGTTGTGGCTTTAACACTGTCCGAAACTCCGTATTGGTATCATTGATATATCTTTTAGCCGTTTAGCTGGGCCGGGGATGACGAGTGAGACCCGAGGGTTACCGAAACATGCGGAACTGCGATGTAATTGGTATCACAGATATATTTTTTGGTGGTTTGGCCGGGCCGAGGATGTCGACTATTGAGACGCGTGGGCTGACGGAACAAACAAAACTGCGGTGTATGTTTAAGATCCCAAGCTCACATAAATACACATCTTCCAGACCAGTCATGTGAACCTCAAACAAAAAAATCACTAATGCTAGAAAGAAGGTTGAAGTTGAATAGATATGATTCACACTTTTGTAAAGTAAACAAGGAGTGTATTTACTAATGTTACAACTTGAATCATTTGATTGACAATGATGATGATGGGCTTGGCGATGGATGTGATGGATGTGATGATGATGCTAGTGAGGATGCTGCTGCTGCTGATGATCAATGACATTATATGCGTGTTCCCAATCTGGTAGTATAGAAGAAAATAAAAGTACAGAAAAGAATCGAAAAAACACGAAAAGATCAAGGATGATGGGGATGGGGGGAGGATGAGTTCTAAAAGTTGAGGATGGAGAATCCGAGGAGGATGGAAGCGCAGCCGACGAGGCTAAGGATACCAAAGGGAGGCGGGGTTCGATCGGGATCAGGGGAGTTGATCGCACCGATGAGAGTGTGATCGACGATGGCGATCAGAACCAAAGTGCACAAATTACCAACGGACTGAACAGTTGGATTGATGTCAGTTCTGGTATCCCTCAAGAAGGTGTTCAATTTGGGGGAGGAGGATGACGGGTAGACTCAACTGCAATCACTGGACCCCAAAGACCTATCAGGATCATGAAGCCAGCATTACTAGTTTCAAACAGAGATGGAGGCGAAGACAAGATGCATTAACACGAGTGAAAATATCCATAAAAAAAGGGGGTGGGGCTTTATAAAGAGAGGGTGCTTCTTACAAGAGGACGCCCATAATGATGATGCCCAAGATCATCCAAGCGATCGTTGGGTCTTGGACGGTTTCGAAGCGCTCGATGCCAGACCAGTGGAGGAGGGGTATGGGCACCCACAGTAGACAGAGTGTGGCGAGGCCGACCATGGTTGTCATGAGGTTTGCATGAAGCAGACTGTCCTGATTGTGAAGGCTGAGCTGCGAGTCGATGGGCATCCGATCCGCCTCCAGCCCACGCTTGATCCCCTCTTCCTCTTCATCTGATCCGGGCGAGGCCAACGAGGATGCTAGATACTCGGGATCGGCGAGCTCGGCGTCTTGCTCACTACTCCGCTGCTGCTCGGGTGCTAGTTCGGATAATCCGGACTTGGGAGATAACAAGGGACTCGTGTATGAGTCCGACCAAGCGATGACGCTCTTATACCAGACTTCGTAGAGTGCGTAGCCGATACTACCTAGGAGGGCGAGTGAGATCCCAAGCAGCCGGAGCTGGTAAGGGTCTTTCTGGCCCTTGTGGTCGTCGGGAGACGGTATGGTGGATGATGGTGAGGGGCGTTCAGTCCAGCTGATCATGAGTGCACCGAAGAGAGAGCTCAGGACGCCGATCGTCTTGCGGGTCTCGAAACGCTCAGAGTCGATGAAGCAGACGGCAAAGAGGTAGGTGAAGGCGGCGTTGGTATTGAAGATCGAGGTGATCGAGGTCATGTCTGCGAAGGGCACAGCGCCGTACCAGCACATGGCAGGTAGGGCGAGGAAGAGGGTGAGTTGGATTGAGCGTTTGATGAACCAGGCCAGCGGGAAGTCTTGTTTGGGTGGGGTTGGTAGATTGAGTAACGGTTGGAGATCGGAGTTTGAAAATCGCTTGGTCTCATGCTGGCGTTGGAAGTTGTACTGGAGAAGGACGAGTCTTTTGAGTTGGGCGAATCTTTGAGAGAATCTGATGTTGGGTTGGAGTATTTTGAGGATGAGTAGATGGAGGGGCAGGATGGCGATATAACCTGAGTGAGTGAGGAAGAGTAGGAAGTATGGTTTCTGATAGGTTCGTTGGACGGCTTGAGTGAGTTCGGTCTGGATGACATAGGCTACCAAAGTAAGTCCATTCCGGCGAAAAAGAGTCAGAATATTGCCTGCTTGATTATCTTTTTTTTTTTTTGCTTTAAGAATCGCTTTAACGCCGGTGGAGTGGAAGAAGAAGTTGACACGTGTGTATGTATGTGTGTCTGTCTGTTTCGGTGTTAAGTTGGAGGGAGTTCAATCAAGGAGACACGAACCAAAGGTGATGAGGATAAAGATGATGAGACATCCCAGCCGATTAGCCGATGGGCCAGCACTCGTCTTCCACATCCTCTCAGGTCTAACGTGTTCTTAAAATGTTTGTTTCCTTGGAAGATTCCTCGACTCTCCTCCCTTTGACTGTGTCATCCACCCGAATGGTACTTCGAAAGTAAACTATGGAGATAGCGGACGATGAAGGTTGGCACTGTGCTAGATATGAAGCTGAGCAGAAGTGGTCATATTTGTCAGTCTTCCATCTGCTATTTACCTCTGGCAAAATCAGTGGAAACTTACCTTTCGGGGTGAATATGTCTTGAGAGAAAGTGGTTCTACTTTGATTTGGGAGACCACCCAGGGTGCGGAAATGTCCAAGTTGCTCAGTTTTTCTGTAATTCACAGCAGCAGCAGATGCACTGCCACTCGACTTGGCACTGCAACCCCGCAGGCCCAACTCCCAAGACAGTCAAGGACCTCCACAATTATGGCACCCACTCATGACAAGATTAACCTGTACTCTTTTGAGAAAGACTTCACCGATCTGCATCATGTTTCCACCTGTAATGAGTCTGCTATTCTTTTGTGCCCACAAGATGTTGGGATTTGCATCATGAACTCTCCATCGATTTTGTTTGTTATGATTTAAGGTGTGGTCAAACATTCAACTCGTCTCCAGGGCTCAACAGAGTAACGTTGTATCCTGTTGTATCAAAGAAAATCAGAGGAAGGCTTAAACTCAAAAGCTGGGCAAACTTTACACAACCTCTCAGGAGTTTGTGAAGACAAGAAACATCAGCCCCTAATTGATCTTCTCATGGTCCCATAAGAGCATTCACATTGGTTGGGTTAAACTGCTGGCTTAAGGCAAGTTAACCCAACCAAGCCTGCTTGTGCACTCACATTGATTTGAGGTTAGCAATGGGGTAGTTAACCAAAAGTTTGATTTCAGGTTTGTGGTCACTCTTAATTTAGCAATTGCTAACCTAGTAACTGCGGCCACTGGTGCAGTCACACGTGGAAAAGCATCACCATGAAATTTGTTTGATTTCTTCACCTGTTTGTGGGCTGTGCAACTAGGCTGCAGATGCTTGTAGGTGCCAGGGTACCGGTAGTTGGGTGCTAGTCCTCATGGGTCAACATGTAGTGATACAACTAGGAGACATGCCGACAGGGTTTGGCATTGGAATCCTCATTGGGAAGAAATGAGACCAATTTCAACTCATCTCAACAGAACCTCAATGGGAATAAGGGCCAATGGAAGATGAAAAATTCAAAGAGTAACACATTTCATGTTTGGAGACAGTCACGGTGCAGTTGGGATTGATAATGCTGATAAAACTGGGGATTAAGAAGGGGAAGTTAGTTGCTTTCTGGACAGATAATACAACAACAGAAAGTTTGGTGAGGAAAAGTAAATCAAAAGATAGATTTGTAAACAAGGAATGTAAAACTACCCAGAAGATCCTGATCAGAAATCAGATAAACCTAGTTCCAAAGTGGATGAAGTCAGATTATAATCCAGCGGCAGCAGACATGCTTACACAAGGCATAAGGTGCAACCATAAAACTATTAACCCAGTAGAGATAGATATCCAATGTGATCTGAAACATTTATTAGTACAAGTAATAGCCAAATTAGCAGTAAATGAAAAATGGTTAAATAAACTATATATCACAATAAATATGTTACCAAGACCAACATAGCAGTAGAGTTTTTAGCCTGGCTATGCCAGCTGCATAGTTGAGGTTTCAGGCTCAGAACCCAGACTTGCCTGGCTGGGGAGAGAAGATATTCCTGCTGGGTCAGCCTAGATAAACTAAAAAGTTTTTTTAACCAGTAAAAGAAGATTTCTTGAGGCAGGCCAACAACCCTGAAGGGAGAAGGCCCACCTAGACTGGAAGATGATAGTCAGTGACACAAACCTCTTCCAGATATCATTCCCAATTTGTTTTTGAGAATAGACATGAAATGCAGCAAGATCTATTCAAACCTTAATGGAAACAGAGGTATTCATGTTGACATAATTTGGTGGTTCCACCCTGGGGTTTCCAAGGGGTGGAACAGAAGATTTACAAATGATTTAATGAGCTTAACTCAGCTTCAGTGCAGATTATGAGTGAGGATCTTGAATGTTAGATGATATCAGTTGCACCTGTGTCAATTAAATTCTTTAGTTCCAAACCAAGGAAAATGGCACCGTGATCTTAGGTTTGGAACCAAAGGGCAGCCAGAGCTGGGTGAGCTGCTCTGAGCTGCTTCCGCCAGCAGACTAGACTTAAAAAATCAAAACCATTAGTTCAATAGTTTGCACTGGCCCTGGAATCTGCCCACACATCAGGTTGTGGGTTCAATTCTCATTGTACCCATTCCCTGATGGGGGTTAGGCGGCAGGTTTTTGGGTTAGGGAGGTTAGGGCTGTTTTTTTAATCAATTGGGCAAAAACTGTTTTTCTGGTTTTTTACCCAGCTCACACGGCTCACATGTAAGCTCAACCCAGCTCACCCAGCTTTGCCTTGCCTTTGGTTCCAAACTAAAGGAAATGACAACATTATCTCGGGTTTAGAACCAAAGATTTTGATTGACAAAACTCATCATTTCTTGGCTTTTTCTTGTAGTTAATAACATTTGCCAAGTTTGAGTATCATGAATGCCAATTGATAGAATTTTTGCATGTTTTGTTGTGTTGCAAGTTACATGGTTATGGTAGAATTGGGGGATCATTCTTAATGCAAGGATTGCCCCATATACAAAGTATATGTGATTCTATAGCAGAGACAGTGATGGTTTACTACACTAAACAGCCTGTTAAGTTGTCATTTCCATTTTTCACTCTTTTCATTGTGTATGCTACATACCTGTCACTTATCTGTCACAGATCTTGTAGTAGACCTGGGCCAGAAGTCAGTGCGTGGAAGGATTCTCTTTCCTCATCCTTTCCACAATCTCTTCTTCTGACCCAGGTAACTCTCTCTCATTTTTCTTTGTTTCACTTTCTCATTTTCTCTTGTTTTTGTGTTGTTTCAATATCTGTTATCATCACTAAAAGTAATGCTAACTATCCTTTCCACAATCTCTTCTTCTGACCCAGACCCAGTCTGTCTCATCACAGCCCACAAACATTAGCTTAGCAGCCCTGAAGACAGTGTGTGCTGTTGGTCCCACTGTGCTGTGTTATGCTACACTACAGTGCTTTTAGCCGCAAAAAAAACCAAAAACCCCACTAAAATGCCCTGTAGCGCATCATAGTAGGTCCACCTGTGCACGTAGTGTTAGCGCAGTTGAGGCAGAATTCCACTGTGCTGCACTAAATGTTAGTGGAATTCTGCTAAATTAAACTGCACCAATGCTATGGTTAGTTTAACTCGCCCATTGTTGTCAGAGACTGGCATAGTGATTGAGTTGCTAGGTAATAATGAGTGTTATCTTGCACCTCTACAGATACAGTACCCCATGTAAGGAACATTGCACAAAGAAATTATAAATATTCATCAAACATGATGTGGTACACCATGGACACAAAAATTTATGGGGAATGACACTCCACAAGATAATAGGAAACTTCTGCAAATCAAATTAGAATGAAGAAACCTCCATGGTCAGATTTAGAATAAATTCAATTTAAAAGTTTGGAAGCATACAATCATCATCAAAATTCAGTTAAGTCAAGTCCTGCCAGGAGAATAGTTTTGATAAGTTGTCAAATCAAAGCAAATTTGAGAAATACTAGACGGACATCTTATAATTGCTACCATATTCTTTGTCAAGTTTAGGATATTAAAACAGCTGGGATCAGTGCACAGCTTACCAATGTAGATAATATAGTGAGATGAAAACATGTGTTTGACTTTTTTTACATATCTCCAATGAAACCTGTGTTGCACAGAGTAAATTTCTGCACACGCAGTTCCCCACATATGCTTCCTCTTATGTTTTCATTTTTTGTCTTAATTTGAACATGATCTACTGTCAATCATGTTTCTCTTGAGTGAAACAAACCATTTATTCTGTAAGTTTTGTAAGTTTCAGTTGTTCTATACAGCTTCAGGTGTCAGCTCATGGGCTATAACCAATCACCTTCTGTTGCAAAAATCCATTCTCTATCTTTGTTCAACTCATTTTCTTCAAGTTCCAGTCATGAAACCATTTACTGAATCCTTACCTCCCCTAGTCTACCTGTACCTCCACCTGATCACATCTGCGCTTCCCGGAGGCGTGCTATCTGAATTTAAAAAGCCGGGGTCACCGGGCCAGGGGAATAACAAGTTGTGTCTCTCTTCTTTCAATGACCATAAAAGGCAGTCATTAAGCTGACTGTAAACCCTTTGGATAGTCTTGTGAATCTCCAGTCGGTTTCATTGGATTTTACTCTCTCCAACAGCCATGTAACTCCTCACCCGACCGGCTCCGGATGCAACACTGGTGGCGGGACGAATTTAGGTGATGTTACCCACATTAGTTATCCTGGTAGCTTATTCCGAGTTTTTCATGTTGATCCAAAGTCTTGGCACTTACGTATCCTATATGCAACCCACCTGCGAACTAAATGACTTGCGATTGTTGAAAGACACAGCAACAGCGGCTGATTTGATCAAGGCCAGAGCCAACGACTTGTCATGCCGGATTAGTTCGGACCCAGGCATCTCATCGGAGATGAAAGGAAACAGAAGGAAATTCGATGGTATGTCTATGATTTCCTAGGCTTTTTGATATGCCCAATTCGCTTACATCACAACACAAATAAATAGATATGGCCAATGCAACTCCTTCAACTTCATCTCACCAATCAGAAAGGGGGAGAACCAATCTAACACACAAGCATCCTGAAAACCATGTAGCACCATCAATGGAACTTAAGCAGAACAGTGGTGATGATTGTAAGGATTTTCCCAAGACAGTTGATCTCTGAGGAAGTATGAAAGCTGATCAGTGATAGGTCTGTATTGAAGTTTCTGGACCCCATCTTGATCTAGATTTATCTTTATATTGCTCAACAAGACCCCCAAAGAAGCAGAAGTCAGGTGCTTTTAATGGGTTTTCAGCTCTAGACTTTTCTGGATGGAATATTCCCAGTAGTATGGATAAGGAACAGCCCATGGGGGACACAGGAATCATCCAAAAAGATTCAATCTCCTCCTTTGGATTATTTTTTGATAATACAAAGAGAATTCAACTTGAAAACAATCATCATAAGGAATACTTGATCAATCCAATCCATGCAAAACAAAGCAGTTTTTCTTCTCATGGCTTCATGGGCAAAGAATTTACTAGTTTGATGCATTCCAGTGGGATAAATAAAGATAATGAAAGTAAGTTCCTTTGCTGATTATTTGATTTTTCTTGTTCTTTGCTTCTATAAATTTGATTCAATGAGCTCATGTATCTTTGAGATTCATTCAAGATCCAGGTAATATTTCACAGATTGGAACACAGCTACACATATTCCCTGGGGATCTAAGTTTCAAAACATTCAAAAAAGCAAGTTTGAGAAATGGATTGAATTCACCCCCCAAATTATCTATTAGTACTCCTAACTTGCTAGATAAAACCCATTATGCAATGAGCTCCAACACAAATTCCAAAAACCTCAATTTGCTGAAAAACAATGGGTGGTTTCAGGATTCTCAACAAACAAAATTATCTGAGCAATTAAAAAAAGGTAAAAACAAAGAAGTTGAAAATTTGAATACAGAGCAATTACATTATAAATCAAATGAGATGATTGACTGGAGGATGATTGCATGGATTTTTGGAATGACAAATTATGATATGAATCCAGCTCAACAAGATTTAAAATCAAAGAATAATTTCATTATTCTATTATTTATAGAACGTTTAAATAAAATTTTGAATCAAAAACCTCAGATCAAAATTAAAGAAGAACAAAGACTTAAAGTATTTGAGTATGAACACATTACTCAATTTGCTCATACACTCTGGCTTATTCACATGCAATTTGTTCAAAGTATTGGATACTGTTCAAAACAAGAAGGTTTTGTCAAAGACCATATATCTTTACAAGATTGGCTGATTTCAAACCTTAGGAAATTACAGCCTAACTTGAGATCAATTTTATTTCTCAGCTCAACTAGCCATGATTATGCTCAGACTCAATGTGATTTTAATTTCTTTCCAAATTTTGTTCAAGAGCTTTCAAAAATATCCTCCATGACAAAAAACAAAATATTTCATCTGTTGGGAGATATAAAGAATGACACATCTTTTTGGGGAGCTGTATCTGAAGTTCAATTGATCATCACTAAGTTAGTTATGAACATGATTCATTTCTATTATGTTTCAAGCAACATCAATAAGTGGATATTCTTATTTCCAACTGAAACACATTTTGTGTATCATTTGGCTAAGAATCAGGTGCCACATTCACTTCAAACCCAAATTTTGAGTTCATCAATTGACAAGAATAGAGCAGAAGTCTTTGATTTAAATCTCATGCCATGGATTGATCCACTGAATCCTAATCATAAAAACCCTTTCATAGAAGATGAAACAGCTTACAAAGAGATGTCTGATTTGATTCACCACCAAGTTAAATTAATCTCAAAGGAAGATTTACACAGTTTGACTTTTGTTCAAACTACATTGTCAACAATTTATTCAAGTACATTGGGCCAGAGTGCAATAGAATTGAAATGGAAAAATCTTTCAAGGATGGCATCAAGAATAGGAGGATTTCATTCACCTTTGATACACACTGAATATCAGAAATTGAGGTATTTCATTGGTAGTTTAGGCATCTTCAAGATTTTTGAGAAATTACAAACAATCTTAAAGTTAGTATGGGGCTTCAATGCAAGGTTAATTGAAATTTTTGGCTATGATCATCATTGGAGAGATAATCATATCATCCTTGAAGACCAAAGACAAATTCAACAGGAGTTTTTCAATATTCTCCTTGAGCCACACTTGAAAAAACATACTTCAATTGGATTTCAGAGGGAGCCAATCACAGAACACCATCAAATTCTCAGATCAGAAGTCAGAAAAATGATTTATGAATCATTATTTTCTATGTCTAGTCCTGATCTAACGTTAACATCACAGAACATAATCTTTAAGGAAAGAATTTTTAAAACTGTTATCAAAATAATGAATTATTATTATCAATCAAAGAACTTTACAAAGTG